AAAAGTAAAAAAAATTAAATTAAAACTATTAAATTTGATTGAAAGAAAGAAATAATTAAATATTACATATTAAATAAATCTAATAAAATTATTACAGTAATATAATATTTTATTTAATTTATATTTAAACAATAAAAAAATAAATAAAAACTATTAAATTTGATTAAAAGAAATCAATAATTAAATATTACATATTAAATAAATCTACTAAAATTATTACAATAATATAATATTTTATTTTATTTATGTTTAAACAATAAGAAAATAAATTAAAACTATTAAATTTGATTAAAAGAAATACTAATTAAATATTACATATTAAATAAATCTACTAAAATTATTACAATAATATAATATTTTATTTTATTTATGTTTAAACAGTTAAAAAATAAATACTACATATTAAATGATTTTAGTAAAATTATTATAATAATTTAATATTTTTTTCCTATTCACCTTATCATTTTTATCATTATTGTATTTCCAAGTATTTTTCTAGAGAAAAAAAAATAACTTTTTGGTACACATCATCAATTTTTTCCCACATGGCATTTCCATGTCTTTTTTTAGATCCCATTTATTAATGTGTAATTACACGTCAACATTGAAAAGGAAAAGGAAAAAAATATTTAACGAATTATTGTATCATGGTGTCACTTAACCGATGAAAGAACTAAAAAAAAGTAGGATTTTAAATAGTAAAAATAAAAAAAATTTTCAATACAAAAATCAAAAAAAGATATTTTTCAATAGTAAAAAGACCAAAAAAGATATTTAACCTTCTAAAGTTAAAAAACACGAGATACTTAGTGATTAGAAGTCTTTGAAATAATCGATGGTTATTATCAAATACAAAAGTGTTGGGACCATACATCATTTTTTTAACAAGAGTTTATTAAGTTTTGCTTTACAAATATGGGTTAATAATATTTTTATCATAAATATATATAAAAAATATAAAAATTAATATTAATTTTAGTTTTAGTTTTTTTTTAAATGAATAAACTTAATTAAATGGTTAA